CTTTGCTTCGGCGGCGTTTCGGCTCTCGTGCTGGGGTTGCTCGTCGGCGGTGCTCGTGCTGGGCCGGCCGAGCAGCTGTGTTCTTGCTCGGCAACGTCCCACGACCGTTGAGAAAGGAAACTGAAATATAAATGCTGTTAAGATTATTAAATTAAAAATAAATTAATTAAAATAAAATAAATTAATTAAAATTATTTTTAAAACTAAAACATTCAAGGTTTCGTAGCCGCGATTGTGAGGATCGGAGTGCTCTTCTTTCCTAGGCAACTGCGCAGAGCAAACTACTGCGAATTGGCGCCACAACAGGTTCGTTGAAAAACCCATATATTCTATTGATTGGCTGCTAGAAGCCTTCAGCCTCCTACAGTAACCTAGTTTCTGCTCTGTGCACACAGCTTTATGCCGTGGCCACTGCACTACTGTGCCTTGAATCGCTAGAAAACGATTCAACAATTCTTAATAAAACGTAAAAACCTGAGATTGAGTTGAATTTGACGGATATTCACTCACTCTACAACCGCCACAAAGTATAGACAAGCTGAAAGCTTCATCGCCAAGCAGCATAGTGAAGCCCAGCAGCTCCACTGGTAGAGCAGAGAGGCCAAAACAAAGTTTATCTCTGTACAAAAAAAGAGCTTCTCGAGCCTTTTATAGGCTGTGTTTCATCGGTATTTCGGGTTGTTTATTAAGTATCCACCAGCAGCCAGCTCAGCCCTGATGCTCTCAATACCCGCGGGCTTCTTATCTGTATCGAGTGTGCAGTATGTGAACCACGAACTTCAACACCTCTGCAGATAGCGAAACTCTGGTTTCTGGAGTTCTTGCTTTCTTCAACTGTAGAGAAAGAGCCTTTTGTATCATCCCTCTGTTAAAAAGCTTTTATTTCACAACATGCTGAGGCCAAGGATCACCAATACAAGACTGACAACGCCGGGCATGACGGCGGAGGCAGAGCCTTCGATGGCTGTCACGATCTGTCCCCATTGCTCCTCCCTACAAAAAACACGCCGAGAAAAAAGGCAATCCCATCTGCTGAAAGAGTACAAGGAGAACAGGAAAGCGCGGAGAGTGAAAGAGCTTACGTGAAGGGGGCTTTATCTGCTTCCTTGCGAAGCACATCAGGCACAGTCATGCAGATCAAAGCGTAGCCCGTTTCCTCTTTATTTTCGGTGTCTCTTGTTGCTCTGAAACTTGTAGCTGCAGGAGTTGTCTTAGTGCAAGTAACGACACGGCAATCTGCAGTA